CAGGAAGCTATGTATAGGCTTAAAATTACTTTGAACTATAACAGCTTATATTCAGAAATGGGCTTTTAGAAAGTATTGACCATCTCTCTTTATAAACTGAATTTAAAAAAAACCCCAAACTTAGTAGGATTGTAGGATTGCAGATCTCATTCTGTGTAGAACAGGGCTAGAAAGAGTGCTTTCTTGCTTCTGTGCAACACATTAGTAAATTGGAGCTCTTGCCCAGCATAGAGAAGAAAAAGATTCATTCCATTTTCTTCTTGAAGAAGGAAAAGTGTCTGACTTTGTGTCGCAGTTGCTATTGGGGTATACTTGAACAGGAGTGAGAGTGTGTGTTTTAAATTCTTGAAACTGTTCCAATGCAATGTGAAACATTCAGCCTGATGAGAGTGAGGATGGTGATAGGCTGGTTAGGTCTTGAGTCCCCTTTCTTTGCTAGAAAGAGGGGGAAAAACGGCTTTAGTCTCTGTTCTTTGGAGCTTCTCCCTTACAAATTGCTGTTGTGACCAGTTAAGGTTTGGCTGTGCACAAATTAACAGCTTCATCGTGAAGGACTAAAATCTTTGTTCTCATACCCTTGGGTATATTAAAAATGTGTTTTAGACGTCTGAAGAAATTCAAACGCTGTTTCCCAGAGGAGACAACTGAAACTGATCTTTCACATCCTGATTAAGTGCTGAATTTGGGGAGACGGTTCAGTGGAATTTCTTCGTCTATTGAGGGGAGGAGATTCCTTTCACTAGGGAAGTTCAGCACAGCACTTATATTCTAGAGATTTTTTTATGTATTTTTTGATGCATCTCTTTTTTTTTCTTCTTTTTACTTTTTTTCCCCTCCAGCAGGCCACCTTCAGCATCTCTACTATCAGCCTGCTTAGTTGCCAAATCCTAAATTTATGACTTTGCTCTTGTTTTCAGTATTTATGTTCTTCATTGATTCTTTGTATAGTAGAATACTTTACCGTGATAAATCTTGTAGGGGTTGAAAATTAAGGACCATGAAGGTTTAGGTGAGGATTGATTATATGCGAAATAAGGAAAAGTTCCTCAACACTGAAGTAAAAATATGTGAAGTGGCAGCAGGAGAGCAAAAATTGCCTTTCATTTGGCTAATTTATTATTTCAGCTTTAACTTCTGGTCTGTTTGTTTTCTTTGAATTTACAGCTTTTTCTGTGCCATCCATTTCCCTGTTTCTGATTTAGTTTATTAAAGTCTTTTGATAATGTGCACAGGTATCTCTATAACCATGTAGACAAGATTATATAATCTTAATCTTATTTTAAGTACAGCGCAAAGATCTACTTTTTATTGAGAATAGTAATAATAATAATAATAATAATAATAATAATAATAATAATAATAATAATGCTATTTGGTTTTCTTTAATTTCCATTTCGGTTCCAGTGCTGAAGATTTCTTAGATACCAAAAGGAAGAATCAATTCTGTATCACAAGAATTTATATTGAATTTATTAAAAGTAAACCTTTACCTTAAACTTCAGATCTTATCTCTAAAGACCCTGCTGTTATGATTGTTTGTAAAACAAACACAAATTTCTGAGTATGGATATTTGTGAAAATATAAGGTTGGATTATTTTATAAGTGATACTGTAAGTATTTTAGTAAAAAAATCTCTATTCTATATGTGAAGCAAACAGAGAGAAAACAGTAGCCCTGTCTCTCTTACAAAATGAAATAGTTTGTAAAAGCACATCAGAAGCACAGATCTGTCTATTAAAGGTGTGTTATTCCACCCTTGGCACACTGAATGAAAATTCAAGATGAAAATCTGTTTTACTTCAGTGATAACACTTGCAATCATTATGGTGTGTGAACTTCTCAGAATGGAATAGTTCAACATACGTGCTTACTGAGTCTAAATTTTAAAATACATATGAGAGAAAGTGTGTATATACATACACATATATGACCTGTAGCTGTGAGGGGGGGAAAAAAGCTCATATTTTAATAGGCAGGGGGAAAAGCAGTATCAACAGAGAATGCTGTTAACTTCCCTTTAATAGATACTTTACTCAAAATAGTTGTTACTGATCTCACCCAAAAAACCTTTGTGTAAAAATGTTTAAAACCATTAACTGCAATTTCATTACTGAGAATGGCTTGCAACAGTTGTTTCATCATTAATCATATCAGAAAAGATAATTTGGCAAAAATGTTGAGTGGTAGGCGGCCAGGCTCATGTAAGAGAGTTGGTTTTCTGTTGTTGCATTGCTAATAGTTTAGCTCTGTTGGTGGTAGGACTGTTCTATTGTAACTTACTTTAGTTTCTTACTTCTCTCCCATATCTGGTTTTTATCACTCTGCATTTTGCTTTTAAAATTAGCTTGTTCTAAAGTCTCCCTATGATCTAGCTGATTGATCATTTTTACTTCTGAAATGTAATTTTTAGATATTTCTCTGAGATCAGTGTCTTGTTGGGTTTCCTTTTACTGTGCTTTTCTAATTTCTAGTAACTGTCTTCTGGTGTGCACCTTTCTCTTCATGTGATAATCCACAACTGCTTCTGTATTACTTCCTACTGCATATTTGTGAGAAATAATTGCACACATTATAAAGCTTAACCTGATGCTTTGAAGCCTGCCTTCATTTTTGTGTTCGTAGTTGACGTTATTTTTCCCCTAAGCTTCTTTGATTGTGCTTTGGTAGTGATCTACAGGTGGAATTAACATTGCTAGTCTTCATTATCAATTATGCTTTACTCTTATTTCAGTTAATTTTAGAGGAGGGCATGGCTGTCGCAAAACTAACTTGAAAATAGCGTTAAAATTTGAAACAGTTATACAAGTGAGGTGAAGAATAATGAATTTGAATGTTAGTGAAGCAATTTGAGTTGCTTCAATAACCAACAAACAAACCAGCAGTCATAGCTTTTGAACACAGTAGAACTAGACCTCGCAAGAAGTTTGCGCTGTTGGCTTAGCTATCCTGATCTCGAGTTGTATTTTAAATATATATCTATTCAATTTAGCCTTTGTCTCTCACAAAACTAACAAAAATTATATTGCTTGGGATTTTGAACTATAGCATTCAGAGACATACACATGTAAGCTGTATTTTTCAAGTTGTACTTTAATATATGTTGTTCATTGGGTGTATAATCAGTTTTGTGGCCCTTTTGGTCCATCTTTCTTTTGATGAGTCTGAAGAATTTCCCCATTTTACCTGTAGCCTCTCAGGAACAAACATGTTTGTCATTTCTTGGGAATATATGTTCTTATAATCAATTGATTTTTTTTTTTTTAAAGGGCACAAGATAAGGCTGTGGGTACTTGGTTAAAGGTCAACGTGTGTTAGTTTGGATTGGAAAGGTAGATTTGAAACTGATTTCTTGACTGTCTTTACGTTTATGTCTTCTGCTGTTGTCCCTGAATATATTAGGGTTGAGTGAAATGAAACAGAAAGGTATGCTGCAACTGCTTATGTGCATTCAGCCAGGTAAGGTCTAGTTTGGAGCAATCCCCCCAAAATACATATAATGTGGACTTCAGGTTCTCAGCATCAGTTGAGTGCTCCATGAATCCACTTGTAGTAAGATCTGGTATCTGTAAATGCAGATGTAGCTGAAGTGAAGTTCCAACAAACTGCCTAATCTAATGCCTATCAAATCACCATAGGTTTTATATGCAATGGACTACATATCATTGTGCATAAAATTGTTTCCCTTAATAACCTGTTGATTTCTCCATATATTTGGTGATCTTTACCCATCGTTTAAATTTTCCTCCTATATTGCTCTAAATCGCTTGTGCATCAAATAAGTTGCTGAAACGCACTAGTCAGGAGGTCTTTCTTAAAGCATCTGTTATGTTTGATGTATTCAAGTGGCTTTAAAAACAGATAACAGATCCACTAGTTACAGAATCAATGGGCTGTAGTTCCTTTACATCCATTTGAAAAGTCTTAAACTCAGGTGTTAGTTCCTCACTTTTTTTTCCCCTCCCTTGACCTATTGGGAATCGCATTTGGTATTTTGCTTCTGGGTATTAAAACCACAGGAGTTATACGTAGTTTTTCAAAGTAGCTGTAAGATTCTACTGTTCACTCCATCTACGCCCGATGAGTATGTTATTTAAAGAAGCATGGGGGAAGAAGGGCATAGTGCTAAGTCCTAAAGTTTTTATTCCTGTTAATGAGAAACAAACTCACGTTTCTGTCTTCCTCCCACCCAAAAGGAGTTAGCTTATGTTTGAAATGCAGTGGGAAAAGAATAGTTTGCTAAAATTGAAGATGTAAATAAGTTGAATAGTGTATTAGTGGATTTTTTTTTTTCCTCCTTTTCTGGTGCTTAAGAAGAGAGTATGTTGATCATTAATCATTTGTGTTAGATTTAAATAGTGCAGGTAGTGTGCATATTGTCAGAATTTAAAGGAGGGGCAAGTGAGATGAGTTAGTCCTTTCTGGAAAGGGAGGGCAACAAAACAAAATCAACACCTCTGCTACCTTTAACAAATATGCAATAGAAATGTTGCCTCTTTGCTAAGTGGTTTAGTTTTATGGCACATGGTATATTGCACTCTAGGGAAACAGGCTTTGCTTTGGCAAAACTATCAGTAACCCTCCTTTGGGTCTGCTAGAAGAAAATATGAGGTGTACCAGGGGAACAGTTCTGATCTGAAAAGCCTTTGGCAGGAATGCGTATGGTTGGTTTCAAGTAACTCTTCTAAAAGACTCAAAACTACATTTTAAGAATTAACTGTCTGTTATTCTTAAAGTAGCTAGCAAGTTTCAAATGAGCAGTCTCTACAGGATACTTGGGAAGCCTGGTAGAGGAGTGCCAACATGGAGAATGTTTTTTGGGTGAGGGCCAACTTAACAAATGCAAGCAGGCAAGCTTTGTGTCCAGACTTGTGTTTCAGCTTATGCTGATGGATTTAGAGCTCAGGCACTGAGGCATACATTGCAGCAAAAACACTACAGTGCAATGTGCTTGGTTTCATTCGCTGCTGTGTTTGATGTTGGAGGATTAAGGGGAGGGAAAAGATCACTACCCAGGATGCTCTGTTAGGAGGAGTAAGTGAAATTGATTGTCGTCAGAACTAGATTGCCATATGAGTTCTGAAAAGCGCTTGGCTCCTGAGGATAACTGCTCTAAAAATAGATCTGGAGGAGAGGTTTCTCTTGGGTCCAGTTTCGGGTTCCAGCTGAGCTGGCTTTAGGAAACTTGTTTGCTCCTGTTGCAAGACTACAGTGAGGATAAATCGTTTCTTATTCTGCCTTCAACATTAATTTTTGGAGATACTGACACACTCGCTTTCTCTGTGGAAATCAAGCACTAATGTTATGGCTGACGACACAGGTATTATCCTAACCTTTTTGTGAACAAATGGAAAATGCGTAGTCACAAATACTAGCTATGTCTGATATTGAAATCAACAAAATAACTGGCTTACTGTGGTATGTTGGTGTTTTCTAGGCAGTTTGCTGTTCAGATCTGTGTTGCAGGCTGCCTCTCTTTGATTATACGTTCTCTGGAGTAGAGGTATTTAATGAGTTTATGGCAAGTGGTTAATTGTACAGTTTTTGCTCGAGTAGAGCACACATTAACATAAGACATTGTTTTGTCTCCAAATATGATGTTAAAGTTGTTTCTGAAGTATGTGAAATTAATAGGTGTCTTTAAGATAAGCTAAAGTCAAAGGAAAAAGGTTTTTCATACATTTTTATCTAGGTGTGACTCTTAATGTGAGGTGGGTGAGGTATAGGACATTAAAAGATTTGTTGTTGAGAAATAGAGCACACTTTAAGACTTTCTGATGTCTGCATAAAGACATCTGGTGGTGTAAGCACAGGCTTACCAGATATGGCAAGTGACCTACTTCTGACATGGCTGGCAGCATGTGCAGGGAAAGGGCTTGTATTGAGAATTAACTGTCTGGAATGAGCTCTAAGCCAGCATCAGTCCTTACAATGTTTGTTCTGACCCTATGCATAGGGTTACCTGTGTAGACCATAGGTAAATTTTACGTTACATAACTTCCATTTATATTAAAGTGTTGCCTGGTCAAGCTGCCATGGTTGAATTTTTAGCAGACTTTTTCAAGAGCGTTGAAAATTATTTTCCTGTAAGATAGGAAACCACAGCATAAAAATGCATCTTTTTGACTGTTGTGAATGATATTTTTATAGCAAAATCTTTTTTTGAGGCATTTGCATGAGACAGTCTTCTAGTCTGGAAAAAATATGAACAGCTAAGCTTGATTACTTAAATAAGTTGTCTTTTCTTTAATTTTCCTGTTCTTCTAATAAGTAAAGCCCCTTCAGAGGCAGCTATCAGTAAACAGTTGAAAACAGTAAGGTAAAAGAGTGTGAAATACAGTAAGATTCTCCTGTTTGCCTCAACTAATACCTTGTTTGCTCTAGAATAAAATTGTAATCTGGAATAATTTAAAATGGTTTTAGCTTTAAGGTTTAACTTTAAATATATGTAAAGCTTCCAGTGACTGCATTGGAACACAGGAGTAGTGAAGTTCTGCTGTTACATAATATAATTGTTTATTTCTGAATAATAACATTTCCAGCTCAAGAGTACTTTAAATAATTTTCATATACAGTTGATCCTATTTCTGAATGTACTGGTATATGCTGCTTGTCTTTGCCTCTGTTTTCAGGCTACATGTACATCTTTCCCACAAGAGAGGTGTTATGATGAGTTATGTATATGGACCTTGTACATATGTAATTAGGGTACTGTACTGTGGCAAGCAATACATGCGTGATGTGAGGTTAAGTTGTCTCGATTACTCTCTGAATATTGTTGGACAACCTATATCAACTTTGTGTTTAATATAGCAAAGAAACTAAATAGTTGGTATTTGATCTTTGTACAGAGTAGTTTTAATAAAAGAATAATTTCTTTTCAATAAAATGATGAGCTCAGTAAGAGCTGACATGAGTCAGTAGTTTGGTTGGTTTGTGTGTTTGTTTTTTAATTGGTCTGAACTCAGTATATTAGCACAATGAATGTAATAAAAGGTTGGTTTATTACAGCTTCAACCTGATGGCAAGCAGGGTCTGAAAGTACTCTTATATAATATCTACCACAGAAATAAGTCAGTCACTGATCTCTCATGACTCATCTTTCAGAGCTACTCCATTTTATTCTAAAAACCAAACATGTTGATATTTAGCTATTGAGAGTATTTTTTATGATCAGTGTTGATAAATACATCAAATGTTACTTGGAAGTAGTATGATAAACTCCCTACCTTATTATATTATCACAATATTAATGTAAAAGTTCTTCAAATATTTCAAAATACGTAAGGAAGAATTTTACTTCAGTAACTACGACTGAATGTGACTGAAGGGACAAAGGCTGGTGCTTAGAAGAGAGTGGAGTGGAATAGGTTAGTAGACATGACACTGTGGCCGAGTGCCAGTCTTGCAGTGGTGGTATCAGGAGGCAGAAGAGCAAACCTTGAGCTTTGGAGAAAGGCCACAGGCATCTTTCTGGATGCACATTTATTTACTACATGTATCTCTCTTTCCCTAAAATGGCCCTAAATCAGTGGGCCATGCAATTTATGTCTTCTGTAGTGGTGATGCCCATTTGAAACCCCCTACTCATATGCCAGGCTGAGGGCTTGCTTTTCCCAGTGGTTTGTATATATCTACTGTATTTTTTATATACACTTACTTTCCATATGTGTAGTTATAAATGAAGCTGTGAATTGCATTAAGTCTCTGTGTCATCCTTTTACATCCTTTTGTTCCATAGGACTGGAAGTCTGAAGATAATTCAGCATGTAATGAATCTCTGCTTGATTCTAAGCAACAGGGAAGATACTTTTAGTTGATGGAGTGTCTGAACTTGGAATCTCACCCTTAGTATAGTTTAGATTTTAGAGTCTTCTTAGGCTATTTGAATGTTGATTCTGTGAGCCAATTCAACTAGCTTTGAAACTTGCTTGAGAAGAAATGTTTTTGTTCCGAACTGTTTTTTCTGGTCATATTGCCCTCTGGTGGCAGTTTGAAAACTGTTGGCACAAATGCAAAGCATCTCAAAAATGTTAAGCTCTGTATAAATATACGCTACAGGGGAGGAAGGGGGGATTTCCATCTAAGTTGTTCAGACAAATTACATATGGGTTTTTGGTACTTGGTTGGTTTTAGGGCTTTTACTTAGACAATCTTCGAGCGTCCCACTCTAATTCACAGTGATATGAAAAGAAGTAACAGTGGTGAAGTTTAAAAAAAAAAAAAAAGAAAAAAAAACCCAACCAAAAAATGTGTTACTTGGATGTTTTGTATTCTGTGTTCTCATAAGAAACAAGATTTATAATTATATCCTCAGTCATAATTCTCTAACTCTTACAAATACATTTTTTCTACTGCTTTGCCTTATTTTAACAGAGACTAAGCATGGAGGAAGCAAAAATGGAAAGAAAGAAGGCCTCTCTGGAAGCTCATTTTTCACCTGGTTTATGGTAATTGCTTTGCTGGGAGTTTGGACATCAGTAGCAGTTGTCTGGTTTGAACTTGTAGATTATGAAGAAGTTCTAGGTAAGAATTTTAAATCTTAAAATTATTCTAATAATTATGATATGTATTAACAGGAGGCCATTTAAAATTTCTAGATCGCTGATTTGACTACAGCAGTGTTTGCAAATGACCTACATAATAAGAATAGGCAATGTAGCTCAAAAAGTATGTTTTAATGCTGAACTCTATTATGATGTTAAAATGGGATTCTTAGACCAAAATGGGATATTAACATACTGCATTTATTAAAGAGTTGAAGAAATCTACAAGGATAGATTTGGATCTCTTTGTAACATGTATACTGTACATCATTTGAAATGTCAGCTAAATATGTATTGTTTAATTTAAGCTCTCAGAAACTTGCAGCAGTGGTTGTAAGTGGGCAGCTAATGTTACCACTCTTCTGATGGACTATGGTGCCTACAGAGTCAGAACAGTCATCCTCTCGTGAATGACCGCAGTTTTAAGCTTTTAAGGTGGTGATTGTATCCAGTAATGACAATGTTAAGATACTATTGTTAATATAATATGTAACAGTGAAAATTAATGTTTCACACTTAAAGATGTATATCCATAGATAGAGCTATTGTCCCTGATGTTGCAGGATTCGGTGTGCACTTTTGCAACTGCTGGTTTTACAAACTACAGCTTTACAGATCTGTTGGTACATGTTTTTTTGATCTGGACTGATATTAAGAGAAGCTTCTGGTTTGAAACGTAATTTGGTCTAGTGATGCAAATAATGGTTTCTATATTTTTACCATGCATGCAGCCAAAGCAAAGGATTTCCGTTATAACTTGTCAGAGGTCCTACAAGGTAGGATATTAGAGAAATAAGCTTGGCTAAAAATTTCGATTTACTTTTTTATGGTTTTAATTTTTTAGAGAACTACTGTTCTTCTCAGTGACATGAAACTCAGTCATTCCTCATCTCTCTCATTCTTCATGGTTTTGAAGAATTCTTATTTCTAGAGAATTACATTTATTCCAGCATTCTGCCATGTTTAACCGTAACCAATAAGATCCTTTCTAATCGATTGGTTCTGTACAATGGTGATGGCCTTATTTTTGTCTATTCTAGACACAAGTGTGAACTTCTTCCATAAAACTGTTCTCATTTTCTAAGTATCATACTAAGAACTATATTTCATTTATTTTAATGGCAATCAAGTTCTGTCTCCATTTAGATAACATCAAGTGTAGGAATAAACTGGAAAGCTATAAGGACTTCAAGTTCTTCTGCAAACTGTGCAATTTTAATCCTATTAGAAGTTATGTCTGAATTTCATCAAAACTAATTAGATAAGCTCTCTACTGACTTGGTGATTCCAGGACACTTCTAATCCTGGATACCACGATTCTGTGCTAAAAATTCTTTTTGAATAGAAACTGGGTTTTCCGTTTGCATATGCTTAGGGCTGGTAGAGCTGAAGTTTCAAAAATAAAAGTGAGAAGTCTGATGTATTAGTCACTTATAAAAGGATGGACAGCTTTTTTGTCTGCAGTGATTGTTAGACAGTTAATACAAATTATGTATGTTTTTCCTTTGTTCAGGAAGTAGTTTGCTTACCTTCCATTAAACTGGCACTAAAAATTACATACCTATCTTTTTTCCTGAGAATTTACAATGGCAAGAAGCATATAATCAGAAAACAAATAGTGATTATTTGATTAATTCTTGGTTTACTATTTCTTTTCTCTCAAACATGTTGAATGTTCCTTATGAACTTAAATTTTATTCTGAGCAGAGCATGTTCACATAAAGCACATCACTTAATTGGAAAAAAGACTAATCTGTGTTCAGTCTGAAGTTTAAGAAATGCAGAAAGGAACTTAAAATATTAGTATTTTCCAGGAAATTTAAAAATATGGTTAAGAAGAGCACAGATAAACAGTTTTAAAAAACTCTGGTAACAGCCTGGCATTGACAGTCAACCAGTGCACATTGACATCACTGTGCTGGAAACAAACTGCTGAATCCCTAATTCTCTCTTCTTCCTCTCTTTGCATTTCTAGGCAAGCTTGGGATATATGATGCTGATGGAGATGGAGATTTTGATGTGGAAGATGCTAAAGTATTGCTAGGTAAGTACAAACACAGGCAGAATAATCTATAAAATTCAGTTTTCATATTCATATTTGGGTTTTGTTCAATGTCAAAACAAAATTTCTGGTTTTTCCTAATTGGAGAACTTAAATTGGTTTAATTGTAGTAGATTTTTTCCTTCATGCAAGTTGTAGAATTGGGTATGCAACTTGGTGTAATCAAGGTGTGTTCTTTTTAAACTCCTAATATACCAACATATGTAGAAAGCATTTGATTATCCACAGGATGATTTTGAAGTTAGATGGTTAATGTTGCTGTATTGACTGTTGGAAGAAGGTTGTGATTATTAATAAATTTATCAGATGCAGGGCTTAAGATGCTGCAAGAGTTAAAACATTTGTGTTAACATGTTAAGTCAGGTTCATTTTAAAATTACTTCCAATAGGCCTTTGTGCTACATAGATTTCTTTAGCATATTTTTGTACTGGCTTTCCTCTATTCTGAGTTCTCCACAAGTCTGTTCGTTTTCTTTGCCCTTTAGAAATCCTGCATGACATGGCTTTTTCTTCTTTGACGTTGAAACATTGGTTTTAGGCTTCTGTTCCTTGTCGTTTGGGAGAATGAAATTTCTCTTTGAAGAGACATAGTGGGCAGAAAGACAAACATTAGACACACTTTGTGATATTGCCCTTCTAACTACATCTAGTAAAGCACTACCATCTTCAATTTCACAGTCAAGCATTTGATAGATACTTCTTGCATACCTGATGTTAGAAAGTTTAATTGATTTGTTCAAATGTAAACCTATTCTGAGCACATAAACCTCGCAAGTTAAATTAAAAAAAAAACAACAAAAAACCCTTACATAGTAATTGATAGCTTGAGCAGAGTCAAAGTGGAATATCTCAAACAAATCAAACTTATCAAAAGTATATTAGGGTGTTATGGCTTGCTGTTTGAAACTTATACTTCATAAAAATAAGTTTATCATCAGTTCATTTTTCCCCACTTATGTTTGTAGAAATAAGTGAGTCTTTTGGGGGAGTTCATCTGTTTACTCCCTTCATGGTTAAAGAAAACCCATGCAATCAGAATTAATGAACCAATTTGCAGTGGTGTGAATGTGAGAGGCACTCAGAAGAATTTCTAGTGCTCTGACTGACTTCAGAGCTACAAATTATATTAATTACAAATGGTGAATAACACTTTGTGTAGTTATATTAGTTGGGTCATGTTAGTTGGATTCAGACTGCCAAGGTGGTAGCCAGAAACATGCTGCTGCTTTGTTACATGTCTATTTTATGCAACTTGATATAGCTGGGAATTCTGCCAGTACATGACAGTGTTTCTATTATAAGCTTGTCTTATCACACATTTAAACCTTATACTTTGAGTGCGACATTAAAAGGTCACAGATCAACAGTTATTTTTATTGTTTTTGAATACTTGCTTAGAAATATGATTTAACCTCATTTAAGTTTATTTGCTGCAGTGCAATGGTAAATGGTAAATTTTAAAAAGTTACATGACTGACAAAAATTATGAAAATAAAAAAATATATATTTTTCTACTAACTAGCACATTATTAACTGAAGTTCCCAGTAAGTTATTGTGTTTGCTTGTATTCTACACTTAAAATGCACTAAAAAATGAACACCACTGTACAGACTGAAATTATTTCATTGATGCAGAAACTAGGGAGACTAGATTTACCTCTTGAGGAATTTATCTTCCAGAACTAAGTCTTTGTAATAAAGAAAACCATATAGTAAGCTTATATTCAACTGTATTAGGGTAACTTTCTAAATACTGAATGCATAGTTCCTTTTATCTTTTATTTGTGAAGATGTTGTTTCTTTGTGTGCTGTGTTTGAAAAGTTATTCCTTTCTGGGATTTTTCTCTGGGTCAGACTACTGTAATAACAAGTGGTTTCTCTGATAATTTAATATTGACTTTAAAAGGAGATACTACTGATTGATGTTTAATGCTAGAAGGTCATATGCTTTTTTCTTTTCTGTTCTTCAGCTATTACTAAATTACTGTATATTGAAATTGTGGCATGTATAGTGGTTTAATGTTGTCCACTTCCATAATCTTTAGTTTTTGCTACAAATTTAAAGATTTCATTTGCTTAATAATGCAAAATATATTTTAAGTTAATTAAAAAAACAATACTTCTATCAGCATGAGTTTATTTTATATTTCAAAGAATGGTTTAGTAGCTGATAACTTAGGTTTCTGTACTACTTGGGCACATCTCAATAGAAGAATTAACATTATTTCATTTATTTTATGTATAAGGTATGATAGGGTCTGTTCTTTTTATTTGTTGAAATCAAAGGAAGTTTGATGATTTAGTTCTCTCGAGGTATTAGTGGAGTAAAAACTGTGTGCAACAGTTACCTTGCAGATGCTTTGTTTTTCAAAGGTATTTGTGAGGTTCTGTTTACTGAATTCCTTTTGGTAATGGAAAGAGTGGCTTCTTAATCTGCTCCTTTGAAGCTGCTGTTATCAGTAATTCTCTTCCCACTTTTTGTCCACTTCACTCTGATAGCCCTTTGAAGGAAGATATTCTTTTTAGGAGGTTGTACCTCTGTGTTTGCTTTAGCTCAGTACAGAGGAACAGTGGTTGTAGTAGTAGTACCAAAAAAAAAAAAAATGTGTAAAGAGTAACAATGACTGTTAAAATAAAATCTTTGGAGCCAAAGCCATTTGTTATACTTCAGTCCTTTTTAACAAGCAACGATACCCTGAGAAATTCCAGTTAAATGGCTGCAGTAGTTAGTACAATCTTGGAACTGCAGCTACAGAAAGTCAGCAATATATTGTTAGTGTGCATTTAGTTTAGAGTAGTCTGGCTATGCAGAAAATGGAAAAACAGCTACAGTAAACAAAGGGTAGTAAGCATTACAACCCAAGTTTCTGTGAAAGAACTTTTTCCCCCTGGTTTGCCTACAGTAGAAAAAGATGTTTGCAAGCAGGTTTACAATGATTACACTTTTGGAAAATCTGGGGTGAGATAATAGGAGCTAAAAGAATGCTTTTGTACAGTTCAGCTTATTAGGGTAAGTTTCATGCTCTTCTCTCTTTTTCTCATGTCCTACTGCAGCACCTTCAAATATTCTTACGTATGCTCATTCTCATAAGAGATGTTTTGCGGGAGAAGAAAGACTTTGTCTTGTTAAATGAACGTAGGCAAGCCCTTCAACCCATTGGTTGTGGTAACACTGTGGAATAAAGATTTTGACTCCCTTGATCGCTGATTTAAATTGTAATGTTTAGACTTCTCTTGAAATAAAGTAGTTATTTCCTGTGAATCACTGATTTAGCATGGTATGGCTGCCTGATCGGGCATTTCCATTTTTGTCACCATTTTCAGATACTTCTTACCATACTTATGTGTGCTTATTATCAGTATGTGAATTTTACTTTGAAAAGCAGTTCTTGATTATGGGGATGAATGAAGACCAGAAATAGTTTGAGTATTAATTAGTTTATTTTTTTTATTTTAAAAAAAGATAAATATATGAAATATGTTACTTTCTGAAACTCAGGCTGAAGAATTTTTTTTTGTTTACCCGTACATTCCATTATAAAACCATTATATTAATCTTGATTAGTAATTGTAAAGAAAACGTTTGGGGTTTTGTTGTGTGATGGGTTTTATGGTAAAGATTATAAGATGTATTCTTTCAGTTTCTGTGTTTCCCTCTGATGTCCTAATCTTTTAAAAAGAAAATATGCTCCTATACTCCATGTTATATTTTATAAAAAGAATTGCCCAGGAGACTTATTAAAGAGTGTTATTCTTGACTTTGTGCAAAACCAGGGGCATCTATATGGTTTTTCACATGCTTACAGAAATGCTGTCTAAAGCCTGGGGTCTTTTGTGAGTGATGGTTTGGTTGTGGTTTTTTTAATGCCAGATTCTGGCAGAATAGAATGATAGAAATTATTATAATTCTATGTTTATAATTTAAGAGGGTTTTGGGTTTTTTTTAAGATTTATGTTTCTATTCTTAAATGGAGATTTCATTCTTCATTAAATATTCTTACTTTGGTTTATGTCTTTACATCTTGCTTCGTCCAAATTTTGAAAACAAATTAGAAAGATGACTGACTATCATGCATCAAGTTAAGTCTATAAAATTTAATTTTTATAGAACTAAGCCATGGAAGAAGTTGGAGAGGGATATTTATAATACCTTGATTGCCTCCTGGATTCAATCTGTCATTTTTAAACCTTTGGGCTATCCAGTGAAAAATTATAGAGAATGGCTGGTCACTCAAGTAGAGGTTCTGGACATCCAGGTACAAGGATGTGGAACATCATGGACTTGGAAGTTTCCTCAGAATTGTCAGTGATACTTTCACTATGTCCTGTAAGAAAAATGTGTTGAAATGTGTTCAGTGTCTCTGCCATGAACTCCTTTATCTTGAATGTTTCATTAACCTGCACCTAATATTGCTTTGTAGTCTGCATGTGCAACATGTTCACTTAATTTTACGTCTCAACAGTCTGTCTTCACCCTTAGCCCACTTTTCTGCTTCTTCTTTCAACATGAAGGTTTCTTCTGGTTAGAAGTGGAGGAAATTCCTCCCTTTCCTGCTTTAAAGCTTACAATAATTGACACTTGTCATTGCTTGGTCATTCTGTTGTACTTTTTCTGAATGGAAAAGTTGAAATGTTATTTAGAAATAACTGTAAAAGTGGATTTTAATTTAAAAACAAACAAACCAAAACTGGAGGAAAAATAGAAAGCATTAAGCATGGCTTCTTTGTATTTTACAGATGCCAGTTAGATCAGTGAGTCTTGTAGCCCAAGATAGCAACTCCTAGTATCAGAGAGTTTAGAAGTGATGAGCTCTTTCTTCACTCTACTGTAGCTGTCTTTAGTCTACTTTAGATGTAACAATACAAGCACCCTTTATATTGGCTACCTATTCATTTTTATCTAGTGTTCTGTGTATCCTCAGGTTTGAAATTAATTCCTGAGGATCAAGTGTCTCATGTAGAATACATGTCATAGAAAAGAA